GCCTGCCGCCCGCCACAGCCCGGCCTCACCGCTCCAGAGCTGGAGCCGGAGGCCCCTCTGGAAGGGTTCAGCGTCTTCGGGGGCACGTTGCCCTTGGAGCTGCGAGTGCTGCGGGCTGAGCTGGCGTCGGCGCTGCTCTCCCTGAGCGGGCTCAACGCCACGGTGGAGGGGCTGCAGGATGCTCTGGACCAGCAGGACGCCCGGCAGCGCCAGCTGGGTGCCGTCACTGACCGCATCGTGTCCGAGCTGGACCAGGCGGCGGCGGCGGCGGCGGCGCGGGAGGCCGAGAGTGAGGAGCGGCTGGAGGCGCTGGCGCGGGAGCTGGCGCGCACCGGGGGCTGCCCTGCCGGCCTGGAGCCGCGCGTGGCCAAGCTGGAGGGTGTCTGTGAGCAGCTGGAGGCCGTGGCAGGCGGGCTGCGGGGCGTCCGCGATGGCCTGGGCCGGCACGTGGCCGGGCTGTGGGCTGCGGTGAGGGAGCTGAACGGCACAGCCGGCACCCAGGCGGTGCTGCTGGAGAAGGCGCTGCAGGCGCAGCTCCAGCGCCGCCTCGGAGCCCTCAACACCAGCCTGGAGCACCTGCGTGCGGACGTGCTGAGCCTCACCGCGAGGGACCTCACCGGTGCGGGAGCACGGGACATTGTGGGGACCAGGGGTCACCGGAGACTGGAGGGGTGTAGGGAGGTGGGGGCATGGATGGGGGACCTGGGGGTGTTGGGGTGTGGAGACGAGGGACAGCAAGAGGCTGCAGGGTGTGGGTCTGCCGTTCATGGGGATGTGGGACACAAGCCATGGGGATGCAGGGCTGTGGGGACGTGGGGATGCAAGTCATGGGCACTTGGGGGCTCAAACTGCGGGAATGTGGGGATATGGAGATGTATGTAATAAGGACATGGGGGCTCAAGTTGTGGGGACATGAGGCTGCAGTGCGTGAGAGCATGGGGACACAAGTCACGGGGATGTGAGGGCTCAAGGTGTGGGGGGTCAAGGCATAGGGATGTGGGCCTGTGGGTTGTGCTGTGGGGTTGGGGCAGTTCTAAACCCATCTTCCCCTTAGGTCCTCCTGGGCCCCCTGGACCCATTGGCCCCATGGGCAAGATGGGCCCCCCCGGCCCTGCTGGCCCCCCTGGTAAGGATGGAGAACAAGGCCCCATGGGCCCCCAAGGTAAGAAGCAGCCCCTCAGTGCCCCATCACTCACAGTGGGGCAGCACTGACATGGCTGAACCCTGTGCCTGGGTGTCCTGCCCCATGCTGGCCCTGCAACTCAACTCGCCTTCCTTCCTAGGGCTGCCAGGAGAGAGAGGTAAGGCTGGGGGCTTGGGGGGACCATGTGGGGCTGGAGACTGGGGGGGGGGGAGGATGGGATGAGGAATGAGGGGTCTTGAGGGTACAGAGGGGTGGGGACTGGCAGGGGCGTTGGGGAGGGCATGGGGGCTGAACGGGCTACAATGGCATCTGGGGTTGGGGGCATGGGGTGAGGGGAGCAGGTTGGGGTACATGGGGGGCACTGGGCAGCTTGGGATCATGCACACAGCTGGGGGCACAAGGGATGGATGTGATGAGGAGAGCATATGGATGCAGCAAAGGGGCAGGTATAGTGGGGTCAGGGCTCAGGGTGCTGGCTTGGGGTGCCCATTTCTGACATGGTGTCTAGGTGATGTGGGGGAGCCGGGCTCTGTGCCCCGTGTTGCCTTCTCGGCTGCCCTGAGCACCCGGCGGACGGAGCCAGGCACCGTCCCCTTCGACCAGGTCCTGCTCAACGACGGTGGTGCCTACGACCCTGAGACAGGTGAGTGGCCACACAGCTCCCCATGTGTGGGGCAGGGTGGGCTGTGGGGTGGGAGAGGGGCTACAGTGGGGGCTGAAGGGACTCCACACGCATGGGTGAATCATGACCCTGGGGTGTGCTCAGGGATGCTGTGCCCACTGCATGGGTGGATCGACAGCCACGGGGTGCAGTGGGGCAGCCCAGGGGTGTAGAACCCACTCTGGGGATGGAGCTGGGGTGGGTGCTGGTGCTGACACCCACCACCCGCGGCCATAGGCATGTTCACGGCGCCGGTGAGCGGGCGGTACCTGGTGAGCGCGGTGCTGACAGGACACAAGGGCGAGAAGCTGGAGGCCGTGCTGTCCCGCTCCAACCTGGGCATTGCTCGCCTGGACTCAGCCGGCTTCCAGCCCGAGGGGCTGGAGAAGGAGCCAGTGGCTGCACTGCAGCCCAGCCCTGGCTCGCTTGGCATCTTCAGCCTCCTGCTGCCATTGGCGGCTGGCGAGACCCTCTGTGTGGACCTGGTCTCAGGGCGCCTGGCCCATGCACCCGATGAGCCCCTCACTGTGTTCAGTGGGGCCCTGCTGTATGACGCCGAGGAGCCCTAGAGCCACCCAACCCTTGGGATGCCCCCCAGGCACAGGGGGTCCCCACACCCCACCAGGAACCCCCCCACCTGCCCCATTATTTATCAGCACCCCCTACTCCTCATTCCCACCCCACTGCCACGTGTCCCAGACCCACACCGCCCACCACGGCCCCCCACTACCCCCCACGAAATAAAGATGCGGCACCGGGTTTTGTACCCACGGCTCCAGCTCCTTCCTGTGCCCCCACTGTTTATTGCCCGATTCTGGGGGTCCCACGGATCTCACTGCCATCAGAAATCTTCATCTCAGCCTGAGAATTCATCCTCTGCTGGCATCCAGTTGACTGAGAAGCCCTTAAAGTTGGCGTAGGGGGGTCCCTGGTGGGGGCACACGGGGTCACAGCCAGCCCCTCCAGTCCCCCCCCAGCAATGACTCCCAGCCCCCAACTCGCTTCCTGTGAGGATGAGCTGCAGGGTGGGCTTCTCCAGCTGACGCAGCAAGAGCTTCTGCTGCCTCAGGGCCCTGAAACATCTGGGGTGTAAGGGTGATGGAGGAGCCATGGCGGGGGCCCTCAATCCCCTGCAACCCTCTGCAACCCCTTACCTGTACTTCTTGATGCCATGGATGCCACTGGCTGTGTTCCCCAGGCCCTGCCCCTGATGGTGCCTGCGAGAGGATGGACGGGCGCAGAGCTGGGGAGTGTACCCCTTGTACCTGGGGCCCCACTTGGCACACCAGAGGCACACAGGGCTGAGTGCTGAGACACAGGAGGGGGTGAGGGTGTTGGGCACATGCAGTGGGTACCCTGCGCCCATGGTGGGGATGGTCCTTACCCTGCATGGTGGCTGTGTGCCTGCAGTAGTACAGCCGGGCCAGCTCCCCAAACACATCTCCTGGCCTCAGTGTGCGAAGTGCGTGGCCACACTGGCTCACACTGAGCTGCCCTTCTGTGGAGAGACATGGAAGAGCATGCACATGTGTATGCACGCATGCATGCACACACAGGCTGCCCTGCAGCAGGCAGCCTCGCACATGCACCCACATTGTGCATCTCCTGCAGCGGGTGCACACTGCAGGTGAGCTCACACCCATGGACAGGCAAACACATGAGCACACCTACACCTGCACACGCGTGGCCTGGCTCTGCACTCCCATCTGCCACGATGTACATGGTGGTGCCCTCAGCGCCCTCAGCCAGCATCATGTCCCCGGGGCCATATTGGATGGGGGTGAAGCTCCGGGCCAGCACCTCAGGATAGCCCTCACCCAGGCGCCACAGATATGGGCTGCGCTCCACCGCAGCTGCAATGAGGCTGAGGTCCCTAGGGACATGGGGACACACAGATCCCCTGGCCCCGGTTCCTGCTGGCTACCTGGGCAATGTGGGGCTGTTGGGCACACAGAGGGCATCATCACTGGTGAGGGGCTCCGGGATGATGGCTACAGTGTGGCTGTCTTGCCAGCCGGGGGGTGGCTCCTTGGAACCCTTCTGCAGCATACTCTGCAGGAACGTCCTCTCCTCCTGCAGCTGCAGCTCCAGCAGCACCTTGTTCATCCCTGCACCCTGTGAAGGGGCAGTTTAACGTCAGCCCAGCACAGGGCAGGCGCATGGAAACAGAAGAGAGATGCCCTCCTAGGTAAAGGGTCATGGCCCCACACAGCTCCAGGTAATTCCACATGACCCCACATATCCCCATTTGTGCTATCAGCCTTGGCTCAACATATCTGGCTGTGGCAAAGCACATCTGGCCACAGCACAGTGTGGGCAGTGTGGGGGACACAGGACCCCATAGTGCCAGGTTCTCAGCCCCTGCAACACCACAGGAGGATCCCATGGGTGTCCCAGCCCCAAAAAGCCACCCACAGGCTCTGTCCCAGCCGCAGCACAGCAGGTGCCAGGTGCTCTCTGACCCGTGCAAAGGTTGTGCTGCTGGCACAAGGGAGCCGTGGGCCTCAGCACAGCCTCTGCCACAACGCATCGACATGGTGACTTGTCCTGAGCACTCTGTCAGATCCTGCACCTCAGCCCTGCTGCCAACCCCATGCCCGTGCCTACCTGCACCCCACATCTGCTGCCGTTCCCTCCCAGCCCCACGCTGTCTGTAACACATTAACCAGCATGTGCCGACCCGCGCCTGTGCCTGCTGTCACTCGCTACAACCCACTGCACCCTGACCTGCGCCCCATGCCGGCGAGAGCTGGATGGGGACCGGGGCAGAGTCCAGCCCTGCCTGCACCCTGACCCTGGTGCATGTCACATCGCAGCACCTCAACGTGGGGGGTGCACAGGCACGGGGGTGCACGGAGGGGGTGCACGGGGTGGGTGCATGGCAGGGTGCGCATTTCGGGGGGTATGCACGGAGGGGGTGCACGGGGGGTGTGCATGGCAGGGTGTGCATTTGGCGGGGGGGGGTGCAAGCAGCGCGACGGGCTGAGGCGCAGCACGTGCAGCACCGCACACCCCTGCGGGCTTCCCACGCACAGATACAGCGCATGCGCAGAGGAGGGTTCGGGCGGTGCGGCTGTGGGGGGCGTGGCCTAATACCTCCCTCTCCCCGCCCACAGAGTAGCGCTCTGATTGGCAGCTCTTGGAAGGGCGTGGCGTAGGGAGGCGGGGCCTGACGCAGGGGCGGAGTCTGTGGAAGGGGCGGGGCCTATCGGCCGCGCCGGTGCCGGTCCCGGAGCGGAGCGGCTGCGGCAATGGCAGCGGCCGCCCGGAGGGGCCCCGTCCCCGGCGGGGAGAAGCGGATCCTGTGCGTGGGGCTGGTGTGCCTGGACATCATCAGCGTGGTGGAGGCGTATCCTGCCGAGGACTCCGACATCAGGTACCAGCGGGCGGGCTGCGAGGCGGGGCAGCTCCGCTGGGAGGAGGAGGACCTGGGTCTGAACCGGTGCCCACGGCCCATGGCCTTGCAGGTGCATGTCGCAGCGATGGCAGCGGGGCGGGAATGCCTCCAACTCCTGCACGGTGCTGGCGCTGCTGGGAGCCCCCTGCGCCTTCATGGGCTCGCTGGCCACTGGGCACGCTGCTGAGTAAGTGGGGAGCGGGATGGGGGCTCCGGCCCGCCGGCGGGGCCCTACTCTGACACTTCCACCGGCCCTCCTGCATCTCTCCTGCTGGCAGCTTCGTCCTGGCCGACCTGCGGCGCTACGGGGTGGACGTGGGCCATGTGGTGCCGCAGCCCACCAGCTGCCTGCCCACCTCCATTGTCATCGCCAGCGCCAGCCGGGGCACCCGCACCATCCTGCACGCCTGCGGGTGCGTGGCGCCCCTCACCCGGCTCTCTGTCCCCCAAGTTTCATTGTGGCGGATTTCCGGCGCCGGGGTGTGGATGTGACGCACGTGGCCTGGCAGCCCAGTGGGGACGTGCCCTGCGCCTGCTGTGTTGTCAGTGTCGCCAGCGGCACCCGGACCATCGTGCTCTACGACACGTAAGGGCCCCATCACCTGGCAGGCATCACTCAGCTGGGCCTAGCACCTGGGGCCTCCCCTGCACCCTGGGATCACACAGTGCTCAGCCGCAGGACGAGGCTCTGCTGGTGCCTGCCAGGGCTACTGCTTCCAGATCAAGTGATTCTCCATAATCCGGCACATGCAATGACTGTCAATCATCCCACAGCTCCTGATTGCCCCTGTGCCATTGTCGTGATTGGCAGTGGTGTTCCTTGGCCAAGGCTGTGGTTCCTTGGCTGTGGCCGTGCCTGCAGGGTGAATGCAGCCCTTACCCAGGCATCGTGCTGGCCCCATTCACACAGAGCTGTGGTGGCCTGGGATGATGGGCATCGCACCATTGCATTGCCCTTTGAGTCTATCTCAGGGTCCCGCTGTGCCATCATTAATGATTAATGATTCACGCGGATCGTGCCATCCCACGGGGAACTCTGCCCCGGGCGGCACCGAGCCCTTCACCCCCAGCTGGGGGTCACCCAGGGCCACCCCACACTGTTGCTGGTGTCCCCCCGTCTGACCCCCCATTTGCAGGAACCTGCCAGATGTGACGCCCCGTGACTTTGAGCAGGTTGACCTCTCCCAGTACAAGTGGATCCACTGGGAGGTGAGCCCGGGGCTGGGAAGAACTGGGGCATTTGGGGTTGGGCAGGGGGTATCTCAGGGCTTGGGGGTTCAGTGACGGAGGAGGTGATCCCTGGGACAGAATGGGAGAACCAAGGGCTGGGGGAGGGACATCCTGGGGCTGGGCTGGACACTGGGGCTAGGCTGGACTTCCTGGTGCTGGTCTGGGGGAACTCCCCCGATGCCAGTAGAGGGTACCCTGCGTGTGCCCTAAGCGGGCGGTGCGCGTTGCCGCAGGCTCGTAACGCAGCGGAGCAGGCGGTGATGATGCAGCGGGTGGAGCAGCACAACCGGGCCCGGCCGCCGGAGGACCGGGTCCGCACGTCGGTGGAGCTGGAGAAGCCGCGGGAGGAGCATTTGCTGCTGATGGGGCTGGGCGACGTGGTGCGGGGCAGGGTTATCGGTGGGACGGGGCAGGACTATTGGCTGGGGACGGAGTTAGGGACGTGGCCACCGGCCCTGGGCGGGAAGGGGTGGCAGGAGTTGGGGCGTAGGTATGGGGCGCGATGGGGATGGGGGGCAGCCAGGGGCAAGAGGTGCATTTGGAGCAATGTGGTGCAGGTGGGGGTGGGAGTGGGTACTGTCTGTGCAAAGGTGTGGCAGTGTGGGGTGCAGTTGGGGTCTGGAGTGCAGCTGGGGTCTAGGAGGGATAGTCGGGGTCAGGAGAGTAGTTGGGAGAGCAGAGTCGAGGGGGCAGTGACGGTGCTGAAAGAGCAGCGGGAACCGGGAGTGTTGGGGTGTCTCCCCCGCCTCAGCCCCTCTCCTGCAGGTGTTCATCAGCAAGGACTTGGCCCAGCACTTTGGGTACCGGTCGGCCCCCGAGGCGCTGCAGGGGTTGCGCAGCCGCGTCCAGCCAGGGTATGGGGGGGTCCAGGGGTGCTGGTTGGGGCAGGGAGGGCACGGCTGCACCCCACACTCGCCCCTCTGCCCCCCAGCGCCACACTGATCTGCGCCTGGGCTGAGGAGGGGGCCGATGCCATAGGGCCAGGTGGGGAGCTGGTGCACTCGGATGCCTTCCCCCCAGAGACCCTCGTGGACACACTGGGGGCTGGGGACACCTTCAATGCTGCTGTCATCTTTGCACTCTCAGCAGGTGAGTGCGTGGCACACCCACAGCATGGCCATGGGTCACCATGGCCACAGCAGAGCCACAGCTCAGCTTGGCCCAGCCTGGCCTAGCAGGACTGACCCCCCCATTCCCCAGGGAAGACTCTGCAGGATGCCATTACCTTCGGCTGCCGCATTGCAGGCAGGAAATGTGGGATCCAGGGCTTCGATGGCATCGTTTAAGCTAAGCACCCATTCCCATGCCCTGCCCCATGCCACTGCCCGCACATCTGGCACCCCCAACCCCACTGCCAATAAACCCCCGCACTGACCCATGGCCTTCTCCTACATTGATCCAGGTGAGCGCTGGTGGCAGCGCCTGTATTTCTCTGTCCTGGCATGTTACAGGAGCAAACGGTGTAACCCTGGCACTGCTGCAGGACGGGGGACCCTCCCCCATGCTAAGTGCCCTGAGTGGGGCAGGGAGCAGCCCAGTCCGCAGCCCTGCTCTCTACCCCTCCCCGGGGTCCCCCCATACTAGGGCTGTCTCTTCCTCAGGGGCTCCAACCTCAGGAGCTTCAGTTTTGGGGGTGTCCTCTGCCTTCATGAGTCCAGCATCGGAGGATTCAGCCTGTGGTGTTTCAGCCTGAAGGGTTTCCTGCCCCTCTTCCTGCTTCTCTGCTGGCCCGAGTCCTGGGCCATTCACCCCCATGTTCCTCCCAACCACCTCTGGTTCCCTGGGATGTGGCAGGAGGGGTGGCTCTGGGGCTCCCTGGTCTTGGCCAAGAGACAGCAGCCGCTTAGGGGGGTCAAGCAGCAGTTCAAGAGGGTTGAGGAGCCCATCTTTGCTCATGTCCTGCCTCTCCAAGGCTTGGTCCACCAGCACAGCCACCTACGGGGACAGGGATAGGGTGAGAGCCCAGCCCTGGGGCACTGTGAGGTGCAAGGGGCCAGCCCCCCAGGATGTACCGTGTCAAGGTGTGGCTGCCTGCCATTCTGCTGTGCCAGCACTGTGCCCAGCAGCTGCAGCAGCTCCAGCCCATCCAGATGCCCGTTTCGGTCGTGGTCATGCAGCACAAAGAGATAGAGCAGGACTGTGGGGCACAGATCACAGTGGGGCTGGGACTGCGTTCCTGCCCCTATTGGACCCCCAGTACCCTACTGCTGCACAGCCTTACCCTGCTCCCGTGTCAGGGCCTCCACATCCTGCTCCAGCATTGCCAGACTCTGCACTGTGCTCTGCAGCAGCCTGGGGACAGTCGGGCTGTAGGCAGGCACACACCACCCCTGCCCCACAGCATGCCCTATGGCCAACCCAGGGCTGCTGCATCCTACAGCTGTCCTCAGGAGCACCCTCCTCCACAGCCAGCTGGGTGCTGCCCGTGCCTCCCACCCTCTAGTTGACCCCCCCGATCCACAGCCCCCAGTACCATGGAGCTCCTGTGGGGCTCCCATGGGGTAGGGACTCACAGCAGTGTGGGCAACTCCAGGCTGAACAGGTCAAAATCAGGATCCAGCCTCATGGCTGCAGGGTCCTCAGGCCTGGCCAGGAGAGAGTGGGGTTACCTGTGTCCGTGGGGTGGAGGGCACAGTGCCTGCCCTGCCCTGGCCTAATGTCCTCACACAGCACCCCCTCCATCCATGGCCCCCACAGCCCTGTATCAACCCCAGCGACCACTGGGTACCCCAGGACCATCCATTACTGTGCATCCCGTCTGTACCTGTGCACCCAAACCTCACCTGCGCGCCCTCCTCACCCATGAACCCTCCCCCTTACACCCCCTCATTCATACCTGTGCCCCCCGCCCTGCGGGGCAGCCCGTGCCCCCGGGACCAGCAGCAGCAGCAGCAGCAGCGCCAGCGCGTTCCTCATCCAGCGACCCGAGGCTACAGTCGGGTGAGCGGGGCAGGGTGAGCGCCCCTGGGGGAGGTCACAGTCACGGCCCCGTCCACCCGTCCCGGAGGGCTCCGGTACCGCCAGTCCCCCTCCCCCTGCCGTGGGAGGGGCGGGGAGCTCCGTAAAGCGTCCACCGGGTCCAGCGCGGCGAAGACACGCTGGCACCGGGCGGGGGGTGGAAGCGCTGGGCGGTGCACAGTGTACACTGCCTGCACTGCTCACACTGCACGCATCCCGTCCCGCCGTGAGGAGCACTCGCTGCACACAGAGGGCAGCCCCCTAACACCCCACGGCGCCGCCCGCCCCGCCTGAGGCCGAGTAGCTGACACGTCCCCCGCCAACGCCCGCCGACCCTCCGCCGGTGTCCCCGGGGTGAGCCCGGCCGCGCCCCGCCGGCAGCGCAGGGGTTAACCGGCACCCGTGCCAGCACCGAAAGAGGCGGCGGCCGTGACACGCACCCGCTCCGGGGCGAGACCGCTGCGGCGGGCGGGGCACGGCGCAGCGCGGCTGCTACAGGGCCGGGTTATAGGCCGGGGGCGTGGGCAGGGCGTTTGGCAACCGCGCTGCCGCTCCCCCGCGCTAAGCACACCCGCTCGCCCCGGCAGGCACAGACGCGACAGCGCTGCTTTCACCCTCCGGTTTTAATAGCGGCGGGGGGGCTGGAGGACCCCTCTTTTCCAGGGCCCGCCCCACATGGCCGCCAGCACCGTCTCCAGGCTCCCCCATTCACACCCCGAGCGCCAGCGCCGGGGCTGGTCCCTCATCCTCTTCACAGTCTGCATGGGGTGGGCCCGGGCCGTCGGAGTCTGCCCAGCCCCAGGGGCTCATCCCGGGCCGGGGGTCTATAGGAAGCCCGGGAAGGCGAGTTGCAGCAGCAGGATGGCAGCCACGATGAGCCCGGCACACAGCAGCAGCAGCAGCCAGACAGGGAGGGAGCCTGTGGAGCAGAGCAGTGTGAAGGCAGGTGACCACCATCTGGCCTGGAAGATACGCCCAGTGCTGCAACAGCCCCCTAGCACCTACGTCGGCTGGGCAGAAGGTGCAGCTTGCAGCGGCTGTCAACAGCCACGCTGAGCAGGGCGGCCTCATTCCCTGCCAGCAGCTCTCGTCCATGCCGGCTCTCAGGGACGAAAGCCATGTCTGTCACCACGATGCCATGTGCCTCCTTCACATAGTACAGCCTCTACAGGGAAGGACAGTGCAGCCCAGGAAGGGAGGAGGCTGCTGTGGCTGCCCCTGTACCCATCCCCACCAAGCCCCACTGCTCACCTGCAGTGAGAAGGCGATGTGGATGGCAACAGAGCCTGTCACTGTGCCTAGTCCCAGGAAGGTACCTGAGTCACTGCAGGGGGTCAGACAGTGAGCGGGAGCTGCCACAACCCCCACCCCATGCCTGGCCAGCCCTGAGGTACCTTATGGAGAGGCAGGAGATGACCTCAGTGCCACAGGGCCGGGTGAGCAGTGGCAGGAAGCTTTTCCCATCCCACTTGGTAAGGTAGCAGGGCGGGGGGCGGCGCTCCCGCTTGTGGGGCACCTGAACAGTGTAGAGCCGCAGTGCCCCAGCATTGTCCTCCACTGCCCCAAACCTGCCATGGGAGAGTGAAGGGTGCATCAGTTGCCACGGTCAACAGTGACACCCCCATTCCCTTCACATGGGGCTGCAAAGGCGGACTCTGCTGTCAGCTCTCCACCCTCACCGGCAGGCCTGGTACCGGTAAGCCTTGTCAGGGATTCCAGGCAGGTTCTCGTTCCAGCACAGCCCCATCACCAGCTGGTCCTGCTGCCACACGCAGCACTGGAAGTCTCGTCCAGCTGTCACCACCTGCGTGCAGAAAGTGCAGTTGCATGAGGAGGGCTCTTCCCACAGGGCCAGGGAGAAATCTGATGCCCACCTTGTTGTCAGGGCCCAGCGCAATATCTTCGATCTCCCCATCATGGGCTTTGAACTCCAGTGTCTTCTTCATGCTGGGAAACTGCAAGGGCAGAGCACACGCTGGAGCTGTGTCACACAGGATGGGACCCATGGCAGCCCCAGAACTGCTGGGTAAGATGCAGCATTACAGAGCCACAGGCACTGCTGATGCGGCACTGCTGGGGCCAGACCTTCCCCACCAGGCACACAACAATACTGGCATGGTAATATCCAGCCTCAGCTCCCCCCACCTACCTCCCAGAGGCGAAGGAAGCCATCAGCACCACCGGTGACAAGCAGCGAGCAGTCTGCATTGAACCTTACAGCTTTCTGCAAGGCATCGGGGCTGAAATCTGTGCGGACACTGTGCAAACTCTCTACCATCACCTCACTCGTCTGGTTCTGTGTCTCATCTTGCCCCACCGGGCTGGGGCCCTTCCGCTTCCGCGGCCCCTTCTCCCTGCTGCCTGTGGCGGGGCAGACAACACAAAGCCCTGACACAGCTCCCCCACGGGCCCGGGAGAACACGGGCAGGCCTGGGAGGGGTCCAGATCACTGCCCCATCCCCACAGACCATCCCACTCCACCCACAGCAGGTGTTGTCCCTGCCTCCCCGGGGAGTAGCGGACTCTCACCGCCATGTCCGGCCGCGGGCTCGGGCGCCCGCAGGCTAAACCGCAGGATGTGGCAGCTGGCGTCCTGTCCCGCTGCAATGATGTCGTCGGCCAGCGCCATGGTCATGGTGGCGCGGGTCTCGGTGTCGTGCGAGTGCAGCAGGGAGGCGCTGAGCTTCCCGCCGATCTGCTCCAGCTGCAGGAAGTGCTGCAGGACGGTGCAAGGCCTCAGACCAGGCTCCGCGGAGGGGCCCTACCCGCGGCGGGGCCCTGCTCACGCCGGGGCCGGCCCCGCGGCCTCGACCCCCGCCGGCCCCGCCAGGGCGGCTGCCCCCCTCCACCGCCGCGCCCAGCCGCGTCAGTCCCTGGTCCTCCCGCCCGACCCCCGTGTTCCCGCTACGCCGCACCACGCCATTGCGGATGCCGGTCTTGGCGGCGCCGCCGCCGCCAGCGGTGATGGCGAGCGGCCACCGCGGGTGCAGCCGCACGGTGTAGAGCGGAAACGGCGCCCGGTACAGCTCCGCCGGCCGCCGCGGGGCCATGGCTACGCCGCACACGTCACCGCGACGCCCCGGCGCTGCGTCACGGCGCCACGGGCACGCACCCCCCGTCCCACACAATGGCTCCGCCCCTCCGATCATAACCCCGCCCCCTATCGGCTAGCCCCGCCCCAAAGACCCGAAGCCCCGCCTCCTGTGGTCCGAGTCCCGCCCCTTGCTGCAGAAGCCCCGCCCACCCATGGTCGAGGGCATCCCCCTTGTGTGCCCCACGGAGGGCTGGGGGCTGCCTCCCTGCAGCGCAGCCAAGCAGCACCCCCGTACCCCCTGCCCCTGGGCAGCAGAGCCTCCCCAGGCCCCTCTCCGGTCCCCCTGTGCTGCCCAGCGGGGCTGTCCCAGCAGTCGTGGTTC